ATCATAAGATGTGTTAGGGGTGTCAACATAACAGGTGTCAGGGGTGCCAACATAACAGGTGTCAGATGTGTCATCATAACAGGTGACAGGGATGTCAACATAACAGGTGTCAGGGGTGTCAACTTAACAGGTGTCAGGGGTATCAACATAACAGGTGTCAGGGGTACCAACATTACAGGTGTCAGGGGTGCCAACATAACAAGGAGTAGGGGGTGTCAACATAACAGGTGCAAGGGTGTCAACATAACAGGTGCCGGGGGTGCCAACATAACGGAATGTCAAGAGTGTGTCAACATAAGGTTTCAGTTCCAACCTAACAGGTGTCAGGTGTGTCAACATAATAGGTGTCAGGGTGTCAACATAACTGGAGTGTGGGTGCCTTAACATTACACAGGTGTCAGGGTGCCAACAAACAGGCTGTCAGGGGTGTCAACATAACAGGTTTCAGGGGTGCCAACAAAACAGGTGTCAGCGGTGTCAACATAACAGGTGTCAGGGGTGTCAACATAACAGGTGTCAAGGGTGTCAAATAACAGGTGTCAGGGGTGCCAAAAATACCGGTATCAGGGTGTCAACATAACAGGTGTCAGGGGTGTCAACATAACAGGTTTCAGGGGTGCCAACAAAACAGGTGTCAGGTGTGTCAACAAAACAGGTGTCAGGGGCGTCAACATAACAGGTGTTAGGGGTGTCAACATAACAGGTGCCAGGGGTGCCAACAAAACAGGTGTCATGCGTGCCAACATTACAGGTGTCAGGGGTGTCAACATAACAGGTGTCAGGGGTGTCAACATGACAGGTGCCAGGGGTGTCAACATAACAGGTGTCAGGGATGTCAACATAACAGGTGACAGGGGTGTTAACATAACAGGTGCCAGGGGTGTCAACATAACAGGTGTCATGGGTGCCAACATTAGAGGTGTCAAAGCAACAAACAGGTGTCAGGGGTGTCAACATAACAGGTGTCAGGTGCTAACATTACAGGTTGTCAGGGTGCCAACATAACAGGTGCCAGGGGTGCCAACATAACAGGTGTCAGTGTAACAGGTGTCAGGGGTGCCACCAAACAGGTGCCAGGAGTGCCAACATACCATGTGTTAGGGGTGTCAACATTACAGGTGTCGGGTGCCAACATAACAGGTGTCAGGTGTGTCAACATAACAGGTGTCAGGGATATCAACATAACATGTGTTAGGGGTGTCAACATAACAGGTGTCAGGGGTATCAACATTACAGGTTTCAGGGGTGCCAACATTACAGGTGTCAGGGGTGCCAACATAACAAGGTGTCAGGCGTGTCAACTTAACAGGTGAAGGGGGTGATAACATAACAGGTGCCAGGGGTGTCAACATAACAGGTGTCATGGGAGCCAACATTAGAGGTGTCAGGGGTGCCAACAAACAGTTGTCAGGGGTATTAACATGTTACAAGTTTAGGGGTGCCAACATAACCTTGAGTGTCAGGGGGTGTCAGCTCTAACAGGTGTCAGGGGTATCAACATTTCAGGTTTTGGGGTGTCCACATAACAGGTGTCAGGGGTGTCAACATAACAGGTGCCAGGAGTGCCAACATAACTTGTGTTAGGTGTGTCAACATAAACAAGTATCAGAGTGAAAACATAATGGGTTGGGGAGTGTCAACAAGAAAGGTGTCAGGTGTGTCAACACAAACAGGTGTCAGGGGTGTCAGCATAACAGGTGTCAGGGGTGTCAACGCAGCAGGTGTCAGGGGTGCCCAACATTACAGGTGTCAGGGTGTGTCAGCACTTGTGAGGTGCAGGGGTGTCAGTTTAACAGGTGTCAGGGGTATCAACACCAACAGGTGTCAGGGGTGTGTCTATGGGTGTAGGGGTGTCAACATAACAGGTGTCAGGGGGTGTCAACATAACGGTGTCGGGTTGTCAGCATAAGAGGTGTCAGGGGGTGCCATTACGGTTTCGGGGGTTTGTAAGTACAGGTGTCAGGGGGTGCCAACATTACAATAATGTCAGGGGTGCCAACAACATTTATCAGGGTTATAGCTATAAAAGGTGTCAGGGGGGTGCCAACAACAGGTGTGAATTGTGCAACATAAAGGCGTCATGGGGGTGACAAGGTGTAGTAGTGTAGCATAACAGGTGGGGTGCAAGCATTTCAGGTGTCAGGGGATTGCCAACACAGCTTAGTGTCAGGGTGCCAACATTGCGAGTGAGAATTATTAACTTTATAACAGGTGTCAGGGGTGCCAACAGTACAGGTGTCAGGGGGTGCCAACATAACCAGGTGTCAGGGTGTCAACATAACAGGTGTCAGGGGTGCCAACATAACATAGTGTCAGGTGTGTTAACATAACAGGTGTCAGGGTTGTCCAGCTGGTGTCAGGGGGTGTCAGCATAACAGGTGTCAGGGGGTATCAACATAACAGGTGTCAGGGGTGCCAACATTACAGGTGTCAGGGGTGTTGGTGTCAGTGTGACAACAAACAGGTTTTTCAGGGGTGCCAACATAACGGTGTGGTGTGTCATAATACAGGTGTCAGGGGTGTCAACATAACAGGTGTCATGGGTGACAGTTAGGTGTCCAGGGGGTGCTTGGCAACAAGCAGGTGTTGGGGGTGTCAACATCTTCAGAGTGTCAGGGTGTCCAACATAACAGGTGTCAGGGGTGTCAACATAACAGGTGTCAGGGGTGTCAACATAACGGGTGACAGGGGTGTCAACAAAACAGGTTTCAGATGTGTCAGCATAACAGGTGTCAGGGGTGTCAACATAACAAGTGTCAGGGGTGTCAACATAACAGGTGTCAGGGGTGCCAACATAACCACAAGCAGGTGGCATGGGTGCCAACATAACCACAAACAGGTGACAGGGTGCCAACATACCACAAACAGGTGACAAGGGGTGCCAACATACCACAAACAGGTGACAAGGGGTGCGTAACATAACACAAACAGGTGACAGGGGTGTAACATGAATACAAATGGTGACAGGGTGTGCATTATACAAATAGGTGACAGGGGGTGCAATATACCACAAATAGGTGACAGGAGGTGAGTATAATATAAATAGGTGTTAGGGGTGAGCAGTGTAAGCACAAATAGGTGTTAGGGGTGAAGCAACTACAGAATAGGTGTTAGGGGTGAGCAATTAACATGAAGCAGGTGACAGGGGGTGCAATATAGCTTACAAGTAGGTGGGGGGTGTTAACATAGCCACAAACAGTTGTAGGTGTTTAACATATGGGGTGTGGGGTGGCACAAGTAGGTGTTGGGGTGCTAACATAACTAACAGGTGTGGGTGTGTGTTAAGCAGGTGTCAGGGTGCCTGAGCATAACCACAAACAGGTGTCTAAGGGGTGCAACATGCCATGAAGCAGGTGTTGGGGTGCCAACATAACCACAAACAGGTGACAGGGTTGCAACGTAACACAAACAGGTGACAGGGGTGCTAACATAACACAAATATAGGTGACATGGAGGTTACTGACATACCACAAATAGGTGACAGGGGGACCAACATACCACAAGGTGACAGGGGGCCAACACTAACACAAATAGGTGGTAGGGGTGCCAACTGTAACCACAAACAGGTGACAGGGGGTGCCAACATAACCATAAACAGGTGACAGGGGTGCAAATAACCACAAACAGGTGACAGGGTGCAGTATAACCACAAACAGGTGACAGGGGTGCTAGTATATAACACAAACAGGTGTCAGGGTGCCAACATATACAAACAGGTGTCAGGGGTGCTAAGCATAACCTGACAGGTGACAGGGGTGCTAACATAGCACAAATAGGTGTTAGGGGGTGCCAGCATATCCCACAAACAGGTGACAGGGGTGCTATATACAAACAGGTGTTAGGGGTGCAATATACCACAAATAGGTGACAGGGTGCCAATATAACAACAAATAGGTGACAGGGGTGCCAACATATCCACAAACAGGTGACAGGGGTGCCAACATAACCACAAACAGGTGTCAGGGGTGCCAACATAACCAATCAGGTGATAGGGGTGCCAACACAACCTAAACAGGTGTCAGGGGTGCCAACATACCACAAACAGGTGACAGGGTGCCAACATAACCACAAACAGGTGACAGGGTGCCAACATAACCACAAACAGGTGACAGGGGTGCTAACATACCACAAACAGGTGACAGGATTTAACATAACCTAAACAGCAGGTGACAGGGGTGCCAACATACCACAAACAGGTGACAGGTGCCAACATAACCATAAACAGGTGACAGGGTGCCAACGTAACCACAAACATAGGTGACAGGGGTGCCAACATAACCACAAATCGAATTTTATGTTCCCGATTACTTCGATCTGTGTTGTTAATACTGCCAAACCCATACTTTTTGGGGGGGAAGCAAAACTGATAAAACATAAAAGCGACAACCCTGGCAGGAAAAGTGAACAAAACAAAATTATTTTGTGTTATATCCCAATGGATTTATCCTCAGGCACGCCAATAACTTTGATATTGCCAAAGGTAAATAATGAATTTGTTATCATACAACAGAAACTGATTTATATGAAAAGCAAATGGGTTTTATCCCTAGACCAGAGCGTTTGTCAGGTGTGCTGTGGTGATGGTTTGTTTTAACCCAACAAGTCACACCTATTTAGGTAAACAGATTTTTAAATTGGTAGCCACCATCATGACCACTCTTCGTGCTTCTCTGGGGTCCCGAGGTCAAAGTTCAGACTCGTTGTTACTATCGAACTTGCCAGAGGTCGTCCGAGCTGAACGGAATTTTTCCTATATATTATTCTTCCTCGTAGCGTTCCTAAAAGAATCTAGATTACACATCAGATGATAAGTTAAGACGCTTCCATCAACAAATATAACACAACCATAAGTACACAAATTAAACAGCCATAAATCCAAAAAATTAATGATCCAAATTTCCAGTTCAGTTAAACTTGGTAATACTCGATGGACACTGAGCACCGACACGTCACAGTAACATAAAGAACATCCACAAATACCCTGATGATGGATGACGCACCTAGTAAGTCCTTCATGGCTGCCTCATCCTCGGTTAAGAAGCCTAACACCTTATGGCGGCTCTTATATAGCCTACACCAGGGGGGGGGGGCTAAACTGGCTGACTGAAGGTCCCTATCTCATAACTTGATTAACCTTCCACCACCACCACCATCACCACTACCTCTACCACCCACACTACTACAACCACCACCACTACCTCTACCACCCACACTACTACGACCACCCCCACTACCTCTACCACCCACACTATTACGACCACCACTATCTACCATCACACTACTGCGACCACACACCATCCACACTACCCACTATACAACTACTATCACTACCTCTACCACCACCTCTACCCACACTACGACCACCCCACTTCACCACCCACACTATTACGACCACCCCACTACACTCTACCCACTACTACAACCACCCTATACTAACACCCACACTACTACAGTCCCCCACTACATCTACCACTATACTAACCACCCCCACCACCACCACTACCTACCCTAAACCACCACCCACACTACTACAACCACTATCACTACCTCTTCCACCACCACACTACCTCTACCACCACACTACTACAACCACCACCATCTCCCACTACTACCACCCACACTACTACAACCACCACCCACCACCATCACCCCACCACCACTATCTCTACCAGCCACACTACTACAACCACTACCACTATCTCTACCACCCACACTAATACAACACACCACAATCTCTATCACCCACACTACTACAACCACCACCACCACCACTATCTCTAGCACCCACACTAATACAACCACCACCACAATCTCTATCACCCACACTACTACAACCACCACCATCACCACTATCTCTATCACACACTACTACAACCACCACCACCTCACCACTACCACTACCACCCACACTACTACAACCACCACCACCACCACTATCTCTACCACCCACACTACTACTTACATTACTATAACTACCACTATAATTATCACTACCTCTACTTCCACCATCATCACCAGCACAATTCCTATCACTACTACTGCTACTACTTTCTTTTTTTTATCCTCCCTAATAGCCACACCTTCGCCACCATTTTATTACCTTAAAATTAAATATCCTAATACATAAGTAGCTATTCTAGCTGTGTTGAGTTAAGTTGACATGAATCTATGGGCATTCAGTGACTGTGCCTCGCCATTAATATCTCCCCAACTATTGTCAGCTTTGGGGCGAAGCTCCTCGTTCCCCTAAGGCGGCCGAAACTTGGTCGAAGAAAAGACAGTCGACATCTCATCCAGGCTGTATATAACTTCTGGGCTGCTGCTTCTGTTTGGATAGCACCTTAGCAAGTCTGGCGTGAAGCATCTTGCACTTGGTCCCATCCCACCCAGGGTTGTAAACACCAGAGGTGAAGCTGCCTTGATAAGCGTTGAATTCTCCCCATATGCCCACTTATCTTGTCGTTCTTCTTCTTCCTGTGTGCAGCATCGAGAGCTAGGTTAGAGATTTTGTGGCCATGGATAAAAAATCCTGATGTCAAAAAGCTGGCTGTCCCCTTGTTCAGAATCTCGAGCTTTGACATCAACACAGGCTTCGTTAGATGTGTTTGAAGTCCTATGTTTAGGAAGTCTCTTGTCCAAAGGAAGGAGGGTCGGTTCTACTGTGACATCGCGGCAGATTTCCTTCAACATATTTGCTAGTCATGCCTCTCATGCATATAAGCCCCTACTTGCACACACCATGGCGTGATCGACGTCATAGGAAGAGCCACACACGCATTGGGAGGGCAAACCTTCTGCTGGCCGACCGTACCTTAGAAACATTGGCATGTAAATTCTTGTTTATTGAAACTGGAAACATTTGCCTTATCAGTAACTTGTGATTAACCAGTTAGAGCGCCCACCTCCTGCGCTATAGCTACTTTTTTTCAAATTTTTCTGGTACCTGCAGCAATAGTTGCTGCAACTTATCATTTTGGCAGTGCTGTCGATCTGTCGTAATGGACCTACGAATCTTATTTACTTTACTGGTATCCACTTCCCTGTTGCATTCTGGGCTATTATGTGGTCCGTGAAGGCTGCCAAGTAACAGAGTGAATTTGATGTTCAGTGGCAGCAATCTCCTCTGGATTTGGTAGTCCCATCCCTCCCAGTCTTGGTGGAAGTGCAAAGTGCTCTTTCTGCTGGGGGTTAGGTCAGGGTGTTTTCACTAATTTGGGAATGAACTTGACACTGATAGCTTCTCCCAGAGGGTGGAGGAGGGTCGATATCAGGGATAGTACATCAGAGTAGTTCAACGATGCTTGACTCCATGGGTGAATGCAGCAAAGGCGGCATGTGGCTCTGTGTTAGCAATGGGCAGTTTGGTTTTACTAACCTCTTCCGCACTTTTCCTTCGTATAGTGCGAAGTCCGTAGTGCCAATTACTGCGCCTAGATGTCTTTGGCCGTCGCGCTAGTTATTTTGACCTCACTTCTGCCAAAAACCTCCAATGCCGTTCATAATGTACGGCTTCACGATGAGGAAGGACTTTGCTGGCGTTTGGGTGTGGTACCCTGTTGTGAACTCCGTGTTGCACTGAGTCCCACTTTTGATGCCCTCCACTTTTCCTGCTCTGCCGGAGTCATGTATATACCGCTGAACGACCCCAATTTGCTTAAATTATATTTCTTGTTGGGGCACTTTATTGGTAATTGCATTGCCAGGCTGCAACAGGGTCCCTCTGTGTTGTTCCTCAGTTGACTGTAGATATTTATCACCTCTTACAGCCTTGACCCCATTTACTGCTCTTGGGGGTCGATGGATTCTATACGGTACTGCATACATATAGCTTGGACGCAGTCTTGATTTTGTGCAGTACGTACCGTTAGTATCATGAATGCGTACAACATCACCGGGAAACTGACCTCACAATCACGCTGCTCAAATATCAATCTCATGGTGTGAATGGCAGCCTCCCCACCAGCCTGGTGGCCAGCACACACTTGTAAGGTTCCCTGCTGCTGCCCTGACATCATTCTTTACCACCTCCATTATGCATTTTCCGATGATCCAGCCTCAGCACTTCCCCACGCCTATAGGTCTACATCCTGGTTTCTTTTCAGAATAAGGTTGCAGGCCGTCAAGACCCCTGGAAGGTGATGGCAGCAAGAGGATGCAAGCTTTTCTTGCAAAGCGGCAATGGTAGTGCAGAGATAAGCACAGGGCCAAACTTGTTTGTGCTGAGGATGACTCTCCAACCGTTTGCATCCAGACCTGAAGGGCCGGATCTCCTGCCAGGTCTTCCCAGTGCCTTTTTTCCACCATCTCTCCTGTTTATTTTCTAGAACCGGGACAGCATTTGAGTGGGATATAGTCACCCTGGAACCTGATGCCTTCGTCTTAAGCTTGCGGGGGATGTTTCTCTTTCAATAGTTTAATGTCTCTCTGTTTGGTGGCATCACCCCACCGGAGATTCCTCTGTGAGAGATCTTTACTTAAGAACACTTTTCCCTGCGCATTTTGTTTCCAAATTTTCTTGCTGCACGTCATCGCTGTTTTGCTTTTCGTGCCCGTAATTTTTAGTCTCTCTCTGTAGGTTATGTATCTAAGCTACTTTGCCGAATAGCATTTATATATGTAATCACGTGGCAACACTGCGTTATGTGGCAACATTGCCCCAGGCTGCCATGGCAAGGCAGTCTCAGTCTGACCGTGGGCCGTGCATGGCTGCGCTGTCGATCACTTGTGTTTCTCTATCCAAATAAATGGACTTCAGTGTTACCCGGTGTTTCCCTACCCATAACTGCATTCTTCAGGGAACACTTAGAACCTTCATGGCGCAGTGAGTAGGATCTGTGGACTTACAAGTGTGTGAAAAATGCCGACAGTTACATCTGCCGGCAATGTCTAGCGTCGACTAGTGTGTTGCATTGTGTTGCGTTGTGTTCGGCGACATGCAGTATTGCTCCGTCACAATGCGTTTTAGTGATGGTGGCAGTGTTAGAGTCAGTGTATCAGTGTGTCTAGAGCTGAGAGTTCAGCATTGACCTGTTTTTTGTGGTACCCACAGAGCACGCAGGCGTACACCCTTCTCGTGTGACATCCCTGGAGACACTGATGTTCTTGCCTCCGTGGCGGCTCCAGCCTAAGGCCACCGCATCTGCTGTCTCAGACACACACGCCTTGCGCACTCACTCACGGACAGAACAGTGGACTCTATGCGTTATTTCTGCGCTGTTTATGTCATATATATGTGGTTTGAGCTGATGAAGCGCCACTTTATATACTAAACAGCGCAGTTCAAGCATACTAAGATGGGCGGTAGAAAGGAACAAAGTCAAGATGGAGAAACGACTCCCCACCACCTTCTCCTCTACCAGGCACAGATGGAGCTTCTGAGCCCACCGCCCCTCATTCTTCACCTACAGTGACGGACATTGCCACAATTCTGAGGTGGATGGATCACAGGGACCAGAGGCATGAGAGATGGAACTTCAGGGGAGGAGACACGAAGAGGAAAAGCGCTTTGATGCACTATGGCGACCCGCTAACCACCCTCCTCACTCGGCGCACCAAGACGCCAGTACCCTCCCTCCTCCACCACCAGCATCCTCCAGGTACTCTTTACTCCAACAGCTCCCAAGGCAGCACCTCAGTTGTGTTCTGACCTCACTGGGGAAAGATCACGGCAGGGAGTTAACTCAGAGGATAATTATCAGATATGGCCAGTGACCATGTGCGGTCTTGGGTATGAGGTTTGTTGACCAAACTGAGTGGTCCACTGAAGAATTGGCGAGGGCCAAGTTAGAAATTGAGAAGACACGTTGGAGAACCTGAAATTAAGAAAGAGCTGGCCCGAAGTTAAAAGAGAGGCTAGACTGGTAAAAACCAGTGTCTGACGAGAAAAATCAAGCAGGAGGTGGAGAGTAAAGTGAGTAGTGGGAGGACCAAGCTGGTGGTCAAGAAGAAGCACTCGAGATCGACAACCGCGACAACAACAGCCCCAAAGTGTACCAACCCCGGTTCAGTCCCTTGATAGGCGGGGTG